CAAGTTTGCCAAGATTATAAAAATGGCTCACCACGGAATCTTCGACCTACTAAATCGTGAGCATATGACGAACCGTCTTCAATGAAAAATAGATGATGACCCTATTGATCTGAGCTCATTCTTCAAGGTAAGAAATCAAGCACTTAGTCATACTCCCTCCGTATTTTAATAATTGTCGTTTTAGAATTTTTATTTTTTTGAATTAGATGTCGTTTTCAAATTTCAATGCAAAATTTCTTACTTTTTAATGTTTTATGATGTCATAAAACATTAAAAAGTAATAAATTTTGCATAGAAATTTGAAAACGACATCCAATTCAAAAAAATAAAATTTATAAAACGACAATTATTAAAATACGGAGGGAGTAGCTAATACCGTTTTTAGGATCCTCACGTACGTGCATTTATCTCTTCTTTTGTTTCTTGGATTCAGTTGTGATTTTACACCAATTGTTGCTGGTTGTTTTTTAGTTTTTCTTTACTATTAAGCTGAACTGAAGTATCATAATCTTCTTTCTATTTAAGCTACTGATTTAAACATGAGAAAATTTTGAAGAGCCTAAAAGTACTTACAATGTGGGAGGTTGTTCCCTTCATATAGTTGTTCTCTAGGGGACCATCTATGTTCAGAGTACATTAGGTTCTTCGAGCACTGGGGAACAATGGAACAACTTGTGTATGGAGCCTGAATGGTGGGGCGAATGGCGATGCAACGAAGGTTTGTTGATGAATGCAATGGGAGTGAACAACGCAGTGGAAGTAGAAGAGCTTGTTCATGTGATCTCATACGCAAAGCTGATTTTACAGCAGATCTTTTGTTATGGTATGAATTTATACTATATTTTTTTTTGGTAGGCTGAATTTATACTATATAGTATATACATATAGTGAAACAAATAATTACATATTTCAGAAAAAGAAAAAAAAAAGATTTCAGATCTTTTGTTATGGTAACGTATAAAACATATCAATTTTATCCCAGATTTAGTGGGCTTTGTTGGCTTGTTGGGATTTTGTGTATCAGAAACTCATATATAAACACATGTGAGAACTAAAAGGTTCCTGCAAGTGTTTCAGTTCCCAGCAAGTGTTTCAATTCCCGCCGGCGAAATCACGATTTATAGTTCCGGCAAGTTATTCCATTCCGTTCGATCAAAAACAACTTAGGTTCTTCTTTTACTTCTTCTTCTTCTTCTTCTTATTTTACACATTTTTGTTGAAGAATTATATTCATAAGATTTTGAGAAACCCTAGCCTGACTTAGTCTCAATATGGTTTTAGTTTTAGTTTCTCTTCCTCATCTTCCTCACTGAATATATATACTGAAAAAGAATTTTGAATCCTTTGATTAGTGTTTGTTGCAATTTATGTTTGCATGCAAGTACCTTATCTCTCTGAAACTTTTATCATTTCTTACAGATTTGGTTGTCTTGAGCAAGAACACAAATGGCTTGTTCCAAAGGATTGAGTCAGAGGCTCAAAGAAGATAGAATAAGCCAATTACCAGATCCTTTGTTAACTCAGATACTTAATCTTCTTACCACAGAGGAAGCTGTTAAGACAAGCGTTTTATCTACCAGATGGAGAACTCTCTGGCTTTGGGTTCCTAATTTGGAATTATCATTTACGAAATTCCCAAGTTTCAATGCCTTTTTGAGTTTTGGTAACTGGTTTTTCGATTCCGTTAGGGTTTCATGCATAGACAATCTCAAGTTATATATAGATGGAAATGATGCATCTTATCTCAAACCATGGATTGATGCTTTAGTTAAGCGTAAGATCCAACGTCTTTATGTTCGCCGTACTCTAGGTGGTTATTCTCATGAGATGCCACTAAGCCTCTATGTTTGTGAGTCATTGGTATCTCTAAAACTCTTTAGGCTGACTATGGTTGATGCTGAGTTTGTTTCTTTACCTTGTCTAAAGATCTTGCGTTTAAAAGATATTGTGTTTATCAATGAGGCTACTTTTGAGAGACTTGTATCGTCATGTCCTGTCTTGGAGGAGTTAAAGATTGATGTAGTGTGGAATGATGGGAATGTCTATCGGGTGCATTCTCGGACGTTGAAGAGGTTCTGTTTTCGACGAAGCTCTTCTCTCCGGTTTGATCCTGTTCCGGGAGTTGTGATTGATGCTCCTCTACTTTGCTGTTTGATTATCGATGATAGTGTATCGAAAAACTTTATAGTAACCGATCTGGAGTCTAATGCCAAGTTAGATATTTCTCTCCGCCTTCCTTTTTGGGGTTTTGACGAAGCAAAGAGAAGTAACATTCGCATGTTTCTCGCTTGGATTTCGAGGGTCAGAGATATGAAGATATGTGCACACACTTTCAAGGTATATATTTATATATGTCAATGCAATTTTTTGGACATGCATAGTGAAGTTTCTAACCCACATTCTTATTTCTCTGGTTCCAGCTCATCCATCATTACTCAGAATTCGAACCGCTACCTCGATTTGGTTACATGTCCAGTCTATACATTACTCTCAATGCATCAGATTTGAAATTGTTTCCAATCTTTCTTAGGAGTTGCCCGAATCTGAAGTCCCTCATCTTGGTGATGATCTTTCTATAAACTTTATGATTTTATCATCCCTATGAAGTTTTATCTGTATAATGTTTCATAGTGTTTTCCCCTCTCATTTCCTTCAACAGGAACGGATTGGTTGTTCCCATCAACTGTCTCCCAAGGCGAAGGTACGAGGTAGTATTTCATCTGTGCCTGAGTGTTTGCTAACAACGCTCGAGTTTGTTGAATTCAAAGCCCCAATTTGGGGACTTGCTCCAGAAATGAAGCTAGTATGGTACTTCCTAGAGAATTCTCCCATCCTCAAGAAACTCACTCTACGTTTGAAGTCTCATTTAACAAAAGATGACTTTGTCAAGAAACTCCTCAAGATCCCAAGAGGCTCTACCGATTGTGAAATCGTCATCCTCTGATTGGTAAAGAGCAGAGAGAACATTGTGAGGTATCGTGGTTTTATGTAAAGACGAAGTGAATATGGTTTGCAGTTTCATGGTTGGTTTTGGCTTTGAGTTTCATATGTTAAGTTTATAGATCCTAACCTCTGTAAACCTTTTTTGTGTGGAGACAAAGTTTAATATGAGTAGTACTAGTTTATTAAGTTTATAGATCCTAACCTCTATAACTCACCTGATTGATATCATACACGATGAATATACAAGCACACCGATTACAAGGAAGATAAGCCGGTAACGATAAAATCTCAGATCAAGCTCTCATGGCGAACTGAACCTGAAGATTTGAATCATCATCTCATATCTATCATATGATCCAGAGAGACTCATATTGTCTTCTTCACTCATCAACAATAAGCATAGTCCATTGTATACTTTTCTGATGACTCTTTATACTCCTCTTAGCTCCTCAAGGGTAAACCTTCTAGTCCTAGATGATTCCTATGTCACTACTTTGTGTTGTCTCCAATTCTCATCCTTCTAGTACCCAAGACATTTTTTTATATAACATCTGGATTATTGAATTAAGAGGAAGTAACATAGTCATAGTTAAATTAGAGAAAATGTGAATGGAGAAAACAAAATATATCGCAGAGCACCATATAATATAATGATAGCATTATATTATTTTGTTCTTTAATTACAGCTGAAGAAGAAGAGTATAAGGAACATGTTTAAGATTCAGCCTTAAACAAGTGAAGATGAAGCAAAAAAGAAAGGCTCAACGAATGGGAACTTTGATCCAACCATTGGCGAAAGCAATGGCTAAGATGACGAATGGCGTTGACATACCGAAGATAATAATGTAAGGAAGAGGCGTCTTCATCGGATTCTCTCCTTCTCTTTCTCCAACGCTTTGCCAATACCTACAAAATTGCAATGCAAATCTCATCCATACCCATTTCTTCAATCACAATTGCATGTTTATGAAAAATGTGCATGCAAGAGTTTAAGTTCTTTCTACTAAATTACAAAAACCAAATATTTTCGATCAAACATTGTCACGATTAATGGTTCGGGTAATGGACTCTCTATCACTTACAAACTACCATTATTTAGTTTTCTGCTAACAACATGCATTATGCGGGTTTGAGGCCGGATATCGAGAGTGACATTTGGGAGGTAACCATATAAAATGTTCTGGTTCATAGCCTGAGAGGATGCATGGACCTATAAATATTCAACGAAAAAAAAAACTATCTAAATTCCGCAATGGAGACTAAAATCTTACATCTAATTGGTAAACTACCGAATCGTTTCGTAAATTTTTCATTATTTCATCAGTTTCCTAGAATTTGTTTTTCTTTGATTTTGCAAAATTACATTCTATTCCATAGATTTCTGTTTATTTTCTACAATATCTCGTAATGGGAAACTGAAAATTAAGATTAACTAACTGTTCTGGTTCTTCCTCTTTGGTTATGAACTTCTTCTTATCCTTGGGCTTCGCTTCTCCATCTCCTCCACCTTAAGCAAGAACCAAGGATTAACAAATTTACATAAACAAATAAATAAAAGAGATAAAGAGTACCTAATTTGGCGTGAAGCTTGAACTGTGGGAATCCTAATGATGATTTTGGACAGAGGAATTGAGGCAAAGCAAGCAATGATGAATATGAAGAAGATGATGAGGTTGTGGAATCATTAGCCCTTTGGCTAAACGAAGAAGAGGAAATGCAGAATTTGGCTGCCATTTCCAACAACTATACGTTTTGTTTTTGTATTCGTTGAATATGGTTTTTCATTTTTTACGTTATATATTAGTTGGAGATATATGTGGCATTTGTGGTGACATTTGGCAAACTTGGAGACTAAAACCTTATCCTCTTCTTACCTTAGATTTAGACACTCCATTTGCTGTGGAACATTTGAACTCAACCGAATCAATTTTTTTTTTTTTTTTGGCTCAACATCAACTTTATATTAGTCCAACTTAACGATTACATATTGTCTATTTCCACAAGAGATTTCACCCAACTTGGCACTATAGAATACAACTTAGGATCATAATTCATGTAAGAAAGAGATTCCTTCGCTATTCTATCGGCCACTCCATTTCTTTCTCGCCTCGTAAACGTGAACTTCACCTCTTCAAAATACTGGGTTAGCTGCTCTATGTCCTGTAGAATTGGGTCCGAATGTGGCATTCTTGTACCTTCTTCTCAACCGAATCAATTTAATAAATGAGAGAATGTGCAAACCAGGCCTTTTCAAATAATATTGCAATTGCTGCAAAAAAAAAAAATTAGAATAATAATTTTTCAATTAATTTAATGCACTATACAAAATAAAAAATCAGCCTTTACAAATTATGTATTAACATTATATAATTATTTCCATAGTTTATAGGGAAGTTTATTTTCAGATTGATGTATTGTAGAACTTGTAGTATACTATACTAGTTTAGTAAAGTAGTTCTTGACAAAGGTGTTTTCATAGCACCGAGTAGGCCTGGACATATGGGTAACCCGTTCGGATTTGGGTAGAACCCATTTGGGTTCGGATTAAATGGGTAATGAATTTACGACCCATTCGGATAATTCTAAACATTCGGTTCCGGTCCGGTTCGGGTACACTCGGGTTCGGGTCGGTCCGGGTAAAAACTTTTTGACCCTATAAATACCCGAAAAATATGGGTACTCGTTCGGTTCGGGTATTTTATATGTAAAATGTCGGGTTTTGTACGTTAAATATTGGGTACCCAAAAAAAATCTTAAAAATTTGTTAAAAGTTAATAAGGTTAGTTATATTTAAATACATTTTGCTAAGTTTTGACAAACATAACAAATAGTTTTTAGATAGTTTGGTTGTTTTGGGTATTTAGGTCTAACGTTAATTGACATATTTAGATTTATAATTGTAATTCTAAATAATTAAATCATATTAAAATTAAATATAATTAATATTTTTTTATATTTAACTATATGTTCGGGTATTCGGGTACCCTGTTTGGGTAACGGGTAATACCCGGACCGACCCGATACCCACGGGTTTACAAAAATTGTACCCAATGAGGTAATTTCCTTTTACCTGTACCCGCTCCAACCCGATTTTTTCGGTCCGGGTATCGGTTCGGGTTTCGGGTCTGGGTTTTTTTTGCCGAGGCCTAGCACCGAGTGAATCAATTTGTAAAACTAATAACACTCTTTTATTGCAGTTTACTTTCTTACAAATGTCTTGTTAGCAAATAAATTAATTCTGGATTGAAAAATATTTATTTGGGCTTTTATAGATGGTCCAAAGACTCCAAACCCGGTTGGGTTAGGCCTGATTAACCCTTTACACTGAACGAGGTTGGATCCTAATTTACATCTCTACATTACATCTCTATATATAAGGTGTTGAATGCCAGAATTAGCTTAATTACTTAGTCCTAAAACCTATGTTATTTTGGTTACCAAAAAGTGTTTTATGAAATTTCTGAAAATGACCATTAAATTCTCAACTTTTACATTTTCACAAAATTATTCCCCAACTCTCACATTTAAAATTAATTTTCCAAATTATACTTGACTACACAAATTTAAGTTTAATAAAAAACGTAAATAACGTTGACTGTTTCCGAACCTTATTTTGTGTAAATAAAGTTCTCTTTGATATGCCTAAAACCCCTTCAAGTTTTCATGTTTAAAGGTAAACATGTGAGTTATTTGACTCATATTTTGAACTGAAAATGTTATGGAATCTCTAAAAAATAATTGTTAAATTGTGAAATATATAAGATTTCATATGACTTTTATAAATCATTGATTAAATAACATTGACTTTGAATTACTTCAAATTATTTTAAGTAAACTTTAAGTTCAATAGTATAATTTGGAAATGCATTTAGAAGCTTTTTCTTTTTTGGTAAGGCATTTCGAAACTATTAGTAGAACATGTGGATATAAAAAAGCAACCATATACTTTGAATGATTTGAATTTTAGTGAGTTTTTAGATGATTTTGGTGAATTTAGGAAGTTATGATTTGTTATAAAATATCTTCAAATTCCATTCAAAACTTTGAGATTTAAATATTTTTATTTTTAACTAAGAAAATACTCTAAACTTTAAAGTCATTAATATCCCATGCATCAAATAATTTCAATAAGAGTGGATTTGGAGGCTTTTTAAAAAAATCACTAGTTCATATAACACTGGGTTTTATAAGATTTTTTAAAATTTATGATGGTCATTTCAGCACAAATCATTTCAAATGTTTGATTGAATACACTTCACTCATTTTTGGAAGTAACGGATATAGTTTTTTTTGGTAACGGATATAGTTATCAAAACATGATTTGTAAGATGCGATTTTTTTAACATTAAATTTGGGATAATACAGTTTTCCATGTTAACCTCAAATTAATATTTTTTGCTTTCTAAAAAAGTCTCTAATCTATTAATCTTATATTATATTTGATGTTAACGAAAATTCCATTTATGGAACACTATACTAAATACAAATGCCTAAAAACTTTGTAAGTATGTGTGTAAATGAAGTAAGGTATATGAATGATTAAATCTTTAAAGAGAAGTCACCTCTTAATCAATATTCTAACGAACTATTCGCAAAAAGTTTGATTACAAATTTGTAATTAAATAAAATTAACTTAATTCCATCGTTATTTAAGGAATATTTTTTCGTTTTAAGAAAAAACACAGCAGTCAACAATTGGATGGCATAATAGTAAATTTAAGTAACAATTGATCGGTGACTAGAAAAATGCGAAACCCAAAGTCACGTTAAGACTCAGCACTTTTGGCTGAGAGATTCTTCAATGACTCCAATTTTTCTTCTCATTTCTTGATAAAATCTCGTGTTTTTCCGAGTACCCATTTCATGATTTCTTCTAAAAATTTGCTTTTTTCGATCATCTGGAAATAATATTGACGATCTGAAGTCAAAGGTCGAGTCTTTGTCTTCGTTGTTGATTTTGCTTCAATTCGTGTTGCAGTTGATTTGTAGATTGTAAAGGAAGCTCCTTTTTTGCAGAGGTTAAGTGGGTTTTGAAAGTTTGTGTTGTTTAGTGTAGAATTTTGAGTTTTGGTTCAGTTTTAGTAATTTTGTCAATGGCAAATCTTTGGAAGAAGCAGAAATTGAGAGATACGGGTTTATGTCGTTTAGGGATTCTATTTGCAGTTACTGTCTCTATAGTTCTGATGTTGGTGTCTGTACCTAGAACTGCTTTGAATGGTTCTTCTATTGACGATGATTTGGATGGTTTGGATAAAGATTTGGAAGTTAAGCTTAATGCTTCTTTGCTAAGTGTAGCTAGAGGTAATAGAATGTCGCTTAGTTTGCATAGAAGGAACCATTTTTCGCCGAGGAATTTGGATCTGTACCCGGATTTGGCGAAAGATCGTGTGGTTATCGTCTTGTATGTGCATAATCGGGCTCAGTATTTTCGAGTAACTGTGGAAAGTTTGTCAAAGGTTAAAGGGATAAGTGAGACATTGTTGATTGTTAGTCATGATGGTTACTTTGAAGAGATGAATAAGATTGTGGAGAGTATTAAGTTTTGTCAGGTGAAACAGATATTCTCGCCTTATTCGCCTCATATATTTCGAACTAGTTTCCCCGGTGTGACCCCAAATGATTGTAAGAACAAGGGTGATGAGGTAAAGACGCATTGTGAAGGCAATCCGGATCAGTATGGGAATCATCGGTCTCCTAAGATTGTATCTTTGAAGCATCACTGGTGGTGGATGATGAACACGGTATGGGATGGGTTGGAAGAGACTAAAGGACATGAGGGTCATGTCCTTTTCATCGAAGAAGATCATTTTCTGTTTCCTAATGCCTATCGTAATATACAGACTCTCACGAGGCTGAAACCCGCAAAATGTCCTGACTGTTTTGCTGCTAATTTAGCGCCGTCTGATGTGAAGTCAAGAGGAGAAGGGCTTGAAAGTTTGGTTGCAGAGAGAATGGGAAATGTCGGGTATTCTTTTAATAGAAGTGTGTGGGAGAATATACACCAGAAGGCAAGAGAGTTTTGTTACTTTGATGATTACAATTGGGATATAACGATGTGGGCAACGGTTTTCCCCTCGTTTGGCTCCCCTGTTTACACTTTGAGAGGGCCTAGAACCAGTGCGGTCCACTTTGGAAAATGTGGGTTGCATCAAGGTAGAGGAGATGAGGGTGATTGCATCGATAATGGGGTTGTAAACATCGAAGTCAAGGAAACAGATAAAGTTGTGAACATAAAAGAAGGATGGGGAGTTCGGGTGTATAAGCATCAAGCGGGTTATAAAGCTGGTTTCAAAGGTTGGGGAGGTTGGGGCGATGAAAGGGACCGACATTTATGTTTGGATTTTGCCACTATGTATCGTTCCAGCAGTAGCAGTGCATCTCCATGAATCTTTAAAGACTTCCAAGTAAATTTGGTAATATAATCAGTAACTTTTTGAGGGATTGTTTTCTTTTAATGTGCTTTATGACTCGATTGGCCTCGGGTCTTGTTGTATTTTTGATTGGTATGCCTTGTTTGTATCACCTAAAGTATTTCACTTTCTATACAAGCTTCTGTCTCCTTTTTTATTTATTGGAAAATAGCTTCAAAGTAATGAAATCTTAAGGCACTGCAGGGATTTCAGATTTGGTATTAAGCTGGTCTATACCAAATTGATTTAGGTCTGCAAAAGCTGTGTTTTTTAGCCGGATGGTGATAGAAGGTCCAGTTAAAAGGAACTTGAAATTTCAGGTAAATCTGTGTATGTGCTTTGGTATAGATGGTAAGAGTTGGGCCCAAACTAAGTTAAGAGCAATTCTCTAGGAAAAAGTAACAAATACATGAAAGCGGGAAAAAACATCGGTGCATGTTTTCGGAGCTTTTCGACATTTAAGTTGGCTATATGAACCAATTCTCTCTTTGCAAAGCAATCAACACATTCCACTCCACTAAACGCTTTCTAGTCCAAGAGCGCCGGTACCCAAAGTCTAATATCTTTAAGATGAACAATTTCTTGGTTTACAATCTATATATTTTCTCAATATTTGTCTTATTCTTGTATGCATAGGAAAGATATAATAATATTGAACAAAAATATATCTAAAAACCGATCATTTTGATGCTAGATTTGCTAAGTTTTGGAAACTTAACAACGATAAAAATGGTTTATCAAAGTGATACAACAAAAATACATTGTGATTCATCTAGATGCAACTAGGATTAGTCAAAACCACAATTACAGCAGCTTGTACCAGTCTGATTATGATAGGTTTTGAGACCACAGTTAGAACAGCTTCGACTAGGAGTAAGAGAAGCCGTCATTATCTCCACGGCAAGATTTGGGAAATTATCAACGAACAGCTTGAACTTATCAAAGCTAGGAATCATAAATTCATTTGTTTTAATATAACCAAGGGCTGCATCGTTGAGGACTTTGTCAAAAGGGATTTGGGCGAGCTCAAGGAGGTCAAGAGAATTCATCGAATTCAGAGAAGATATAAGCTCGGTTCTGCATAGGTCACGTAGTTGGAGAATCTCATATTTGTCAGCCGCACGATAGAGTGCCCTTGCGTGTTGCTTCACTTTCGCAGAAAGCATAGAACCATCACTATATATAAACTCAACAAAAGCTTCTAACTCTTCTTGTTTCATCTCTGAGAGATTGTTTCCACCTGCTTAGCTGAATTCTTGAACTCGTCTGATTCTAGCATCTTCTTGAAAACCTCTGATCTTGATGCCTATTCAAGTTCCAAACATACTTGTTGAGAGAATTATTACAATAACCACACCAACCAAAATAAAGACTTCCTATAAAAGCAACACTCACTAAAAAATTAGCATTTCTAGAAGTAATTGATTCTTGAATAAGATGATGATATCAATAAAGAGAAGATGAAAGAAGAAGAGACCAGAATAACTTTGTGGGCAGAGATAATTGAACCCTCATCACTATTCACTGCCTTGAGCCTTACGTCAACTTGCCATTTTTCTGCCAAGATCTTTGCAAGTCCACCAGAGAAATGGACTTCGTTGGTTTGTGTTGCCATATCAATAATGTTACGTATATTTGACGTTGTAGAGGATGGTGGATTATATAGAGATGATAATGACAACGGTCAAAATGACTTTTTATTTTTCCCATCTGCTTCCAATTTTCAAGACTTTGGAAATGGAGAAGACACATCAAATATAGTACAATGAATAATCAAGTCCAAACTCTTAATTTCCCTCCTCCTCTCTTGAAAATGGTATACGTACGAAATCAAACATGCAGAAGATAAACAATCAGTGTGTTTTATAAAAATGTAATTTGTTTGGAATGCTTGAAAACTTATAAATCCTTCTTGAAAACAGCCTTGAAGTATCCAATATATGTTGTTTTTTCTTTGGAAAATCTATTAAAAATATAGTAAAAGATGGCGCAAAATACGATGTTATCATTTGTCCATTAAAAATCCCCAATGAGGCCATGTATCAAACCACAATGAAGTTGTTTCTCCATTTCGTATATCAACCTTCTTGCTAGCGTTTGATATTTCAAAAGTTTCCTCCAAAAATTGTCATTTTTCTTTGGGAATTTTTGAACAAGTGAATAAAACTAGCTTATACCATTATTCATACCTACAACATGAGAAAATATTTAGTGGGTGATTGATTGGACTGTATATGTAGATTTATTGACAGTAATTATGTTGGTAGTAGTTGTAAATGTAGTTTTTTTGGCTATATATATTTTTGAGAGTTTTTGGATAGGGACTTGACTTGAGAGGCCAAGCTTTCATTGACCTTATTATGAACTTCGTTCACTTTGTTGTAAATCTCATTTATTTTTTTGCTCAATTTATTGCACTCTTACTCTGCCCTTCAAGAATTGTTTCATCATGAGCTCTAGCTTTCTCTCTTGAGGTTGATGCGCATCAGATGTTTGATAAGCTGGTTGGTAGTTTGAGGTTAATTCTGGTTTTTGCAGGAATCCTCCTTGGTTATCATTATTAAAAGGCAACCATGTATAGTAAACGTGGCCAAATGAATTATGAAAATGGGCTATCTTGAAATTGTTTTCATGGGCTTTTGAAAGCGATGCTAGACTTGATCTTGCAAGTTCTCCATGTATTAATATTTATGTGAGAAAGGTTGTAGTGATTCTTGTAGTAATTGTTGAAGATTCTTGGTAAAATTTTCAATTGTTTGTGATTTTTTTTTCTCTAATTAGGGAGATATATTAGTATATATAGATAGATTTATTCCCTAAAATCTTAAGATCTCCCTATTTAGTTCAAAGGAAATAAATAAAAAATCAACTCAAATAGTAAATAATCTAGTTTTACTAAGAAATTTTCATATATAGAAATAAGCCATTAAGCTTTGTTATCTCATTGTTTTCCATTTGCCCCCACACATATTCTGTTTTCCCTTTTTTGTCTGATTTAATATAAATCCATATTGTTTGTTTGTGTTGATATAAAAACTACATTCATTACGAGACTAAAGAAAACTGCAATCTTTAATTAACAATTTGTTGAATCATGAGAATGAGATTTGCTAGTTTCTTTGTGATTTCTTGTATTTTCATGTTCCTCGTGATAAGCCATGTCAAAGGTAAAGGTAAGCAATTATTCTCCTTTTGAATTTGATTTTTTTACTCGCGCAATACAAAGATCCATTGTTACAAATCGCAACTATTTTCTTTTTTTCTTGATAAATTTTAAATCGCAAGCATTGTTGTAGTGGTAAAAGAAAAATGCTAATCTTCTTTCATCATTAATTTATTTATCCAAACCGTTTTATCAATATATATAGTTTTAACAATCTTTGTGGTTGATATAAATTATAGAGGTTGAACCGGTGCCATATTGTAAAGTTATCACATGGTACGATGTTAAATGTGGTGCTGATGGAAACAAGACGTGCGTAGACCACCTTATCAAAGGGCATATATATGACGTTCCTATTTGTGATTGTAGTGACTTGAAGACAACACCGTTTGGAATTCTCTGCACATGTCAACACCGTTTTCCTTGTAAAGAGCCACCGCCGTTACACCGTATTTCCATAAGAAAACAAATACGGGGATAAACTAGAAGATTATAAAACCTTATAAAATAAAAACATTTTGAATACTTCATGTGTCTACAAAATTTATTAGTGGTAAAATAATCGGATGATCTTAAAAGCAAATTTATATATTCTTCAAACTTCTTAAGCATGACACTCATGGCTTTTTCCAACTCGTGTTTTTTGTCTACGTTGCTCACAAGATCTACCCTTAAACATAATATCTTCTAATGCCTAGTTAGGTTGATTGATCAGTTGTAAATGATTAATATATACACGCAAGACACACAAATCATCGAAGTTTGATCAAGTGAAGGCATGGTCATTGCCTCATACATCTCTTCAGTTTCTCATGCACACGACAGTTCACCCTCAGTAAAGATAGCCTTCGTCTGTTCTCTTGAATCGCGAGTCCTAGCCCTGAGCAAAATACTTAAAGCAAAAGTACCAAACCGGAATCGAATAAAAAAAAGAGGAACCAAACTGAACCGGAACAGAAAAATACCCGAATCGATCTTAAACTTAAGAACTGAAAGAACCGAAAATAGTACCGAACCAAAATATTTCAGGGTATCAGGAATATCCGAAATACAATTATATACATAAAAGTATTAGTTTTTTAGACCGAATAAACGAAAAATACCCAAATAATCGAAAATACATTAATACTCGAAATACCCAAAAAAACTCAAATACACGAAATACCCAAAATATATTTAAGTAACCAAACCGAAAATACCCAGAATATCAAAAATACCCAAAATAATCAAAAAATAACCGAAATTACAAAAAACTAGATCTCGGTTTATTTATAACTAAAAAATTTAAATTTTAAGTTGTATTTGTTTTGTTAATATTATTTTTTTGTTTAGCATTTAAGATTGTATAATTATATTTTTATTGCTAATTCTAACATGTGGTATATCGTCCTGTAATAATATCGACACAAACTCATCTCACCATATAACCCCGTCTCGTGAAATTAAACACCATTTTGTTATTTTTCTTTTTAATAATATTTTTATTTAAAAGACATATAATTCGAATCAATTTGAAGGTTGCTTTAAATGATTCCCATAATATCTATATTTTTAATTTTTATAGAGTTCACATATTATTAATATCATCAACTTTTTTATAGAATTTAAATATTATAAATACTTGAAAAGTTTTATAAAGTTTAAATATATTTAATGTTTAACTTCTTATAAAGTTTTAATATTGATAATGTTTAAATTCTTATTAAGTTCAAGTATTTATAATATTTGAAATTTCATAAAAGTTTAATATTAGAAATATTTTAAACGTATAAAGTTTCACTTTTAATAAAGTTTAAATAATTATAATAATTAACTTTTAAAAAGTTTAAATATTATAATATTTTGAAAATTTTTAAAAGTTTCAATTCTTTACAATAAAGAACTGGAGTAAACCGGATAACACTTTTAGTTTTTGATATATGATAAATCAAGCTTCATGTTCATTCTTATTCAGAATCATTTTGGTTTTTTTTTTATTGTATGACTCAGAACTCTTTGCCCAATTTTTTAGGCAATATAGGACATTTTACACATACTTTTTTTCTTCATCGATTGAGTAATATATGTCCGTTTTTTAAATTATGAATCACATCATATGAAGAAAAAAATCTAAAATTTTATTAACAATATATATTTTATAATAGTTTAAATATAATATCAAATAAACGTAACGTGCATTTAAGTACTCAAAATCAGCCGATAAGATGCCAAAATGAGCATCACTCGAATAACCGTAACCATTTCATCCGTCATAATTTGTTGAGTTAAAGATTGTTGCCTCACTATTCATTTCACTTATATCTATCAATCATGTATTGCTTTAAATCAAAATTTTAGTTGACAAACCCTCTGTGGAAAATTTTAAAGAAGTAAATCCTAAATTTATCTGTATCAACCAAATCATCCGAACCGAACCTGAACTTTACTCGATATATTTCCAGCTATGCCGTTAGTTAGATAGTAATTTCAGGTACCCAATCTATATTTACTTTACCTAATTACTCCAATTAATCACTCTTGCCTTATCTTTTACGAATATACTTCGAGTAATACTTCATTTCATGACATCAACAATCCATTAATGTATTATACCAGCTAGAGCCGGCTCTAAGTTTATCAAGGCCGCAAGCAAAGAAAAAAAAGTGGCCGATAAAAGAGGAAGAAGATGAGGAACGACCTATTGTTTTTTTTCTTTTAATCCATTTTAAATATTTGTTTAATTGTTTTTTAATAATTTTAATAAGAATATAATAATGTTTTGTTTTTAAAAAGTATAAATGCAAACAACGTCGTGGATCGAACTCAGAAATGAGTCTCAAACAAACTTGATTGAACTACTAGACTAAAGAAACATTTTTAAAAAATAAGCCAAAAATTAATGATAATATTTAGGACCACAAGCATATGTTTGATAGGCTTGGCCCAAAGACCGGTCTATTACCAGCTATTAATCGACTGTAAGAAGTTTGTTAGCTAGTTAACGAGGGGCAAAGTCCCACTCTCAGGTGATTGCAGATGATATAACTAGTAAATATGTTCACTCTCAGGTGATTGCAAATGATATAACTAGTAAATATGTTCGTATACCACGAATGCACACAAGTCTATTGGGCTATTGGAAACTACATATATACTCAAGCCTAATTTTAGGTGACGTAGATGGATACTTTGATCACAGCCGGCTTGAGTTAACTATAGCCAAGCAACTTTTCAATTAAATTAAAATACTCAATTAGGATATTCGTATACAAGTTGAAACTAGCCAAGAAATTTTTTTCTCCTTTTAAAGTTAGTCCTTTCACTGCATATAAATGTTGCTTTAATTTATCCGGCTGTTTAAAATCTGTCGGCTGAGATTTTTGTCAGAATCATTGAAAGTTAAAAGTATAAATAGTGAACGACTTCCAAATAATAATAAGAGAAAATTACTACAATATAAAAAAAAAAAAAAAAAAAAAAAAAAAAAAAAAAAAAAAATACTACAATATATAACATTTGATGAATATATAATTACTTGATCATCCAATAATAGTTCTCTATACGTATGTGATGACGCTGATAAGAAAAGATCTAAAACACTTGTGGGGTTTTGTTATTTATGGAGTTTCAAACTTATTCACAGTAAATCCAACAACCAACCATACGGGACCAGACACCGTATACATACTTTGATACTTATCTCCTTACCACTTTGTTTTTATTGTGATTCATTATTTCCCTTTTAACATTTTCTTTTTAATTGTTAAAATACTTTGGACTGGATTAGTTTATTTGACTTTTCTCATTCCCTCCTCCTCATTTTCTTTATAAATAGAGAGCATGCATGGTGACATATTATTCATCACTTGTTCTTCCATTAAAGAGAGTGTGTTTTAAGCAGTATTTGTTTGCACAAAAAAAAAAAAAAAAAAAAAAAAAAAAAAAAAAAAAAAGCAGTATTTGTAAGAAAATGGCTTCCAAGACTTTGCTTCTTTTGGGTCTCTTTGCATTTCTTTTCATCGTCTCAGAAATGGCCGCAGCGGGTACGTGTTATATATATATATTTCAGTCTACTTAATACATTCTAAGAAAAAGTTCATATGAGGCTAATTAAACCAAAAATAACGTACCGATATTAGTTATTTTTCCAACTATTTCGTCAATAGTCGTTACGAATTATAATAAATACGAAGTAGAAATATACCTATATATCTCAAACTATAATAAATACAAATAGAAGTAATTAAGTTTCTTCTTAATTCTAATAATATGAACAAATATCTTAATTCATTTTCGGTTGATCTCTCAACATTTTAAATCTGACTGTCAATTATTAGGACTTACTAAGTCAAAACACTCGTAAGAAAAGACACTTATTATGTTGAATCCTTGTTGCAATGCTCATATATCAAACAATATCCATTATTTATGTTCTGTACGAATTTTATATGTATAACTTATAACTAACGTTTTAAATCATTTAAAAAGAAATTACAAGATCTGAATTTTTATAGAAATTTATTTTAAAATAGATACTTAAGTAGTGCACAATTGCACGAGCTAAAGTATATCTTTGAAATAATGTGGTGTTTTGGACAGGCACGGTGAAGTCAGAGAGTGAGGAAACTGTGCAACCTGATCAACATGGTGGTCGCTACGGTGACAATGGAGGCTACAGCGGAGGGGGAGGAGGCCACGGTGGCCACGGAGGAGGAGGATACCAAGGAGGAGGAGGAGGAGGCGGTGGGCGACGCGGAGGAGGGGGAGGTTACTGCCGCCACGGCTGCTGCTACAAAGGTTACCGTGGCTGCTCAAGGTGTTGTTCATATGCCGGAGAAGCTGTTCAGACTCAGCCTGGTCACTAAATCTACATAATATATCAACCACCATGTATGATTGCATCTATATATACACTTACGTGTATGTGTGACTATAAGTAAACCATGGTGCGTTTGTAATGAAGTGCCTTAAGTTTAAGAAAAGAAATATGGGAATAAAGTTTCATAATGAAGTACCTTTGTCTTTAAGTTGTAATCTCCGCTGTTTTCATAATAAAATTGTTTCTCGTTTAATTCTCTTTCGGTTTTATGTGACATTGTTAATTCATTATTCGTACTCTTGGGCTAAGGAAAAATAAAAGATTTAAACAGGCTGGGCAAGGACCAAGGAATATGTTTTTTCTTAAAAGAAAAGATTACTAGATACTTAGAGCATCTCCATCGCGACAAATAAAATAATATTAATTTTTTTATTATTTTATTATTTATTTAAATCAATCAGAATAAGACAACTGTAGAAATGGTTGTCTAGGAGTTTCTCAAATGAGCTTATGAGGAACCGAAACGATTCATATTCCTCTAATGCTAGTAATCAACACGATTCGAAATAATATTAAAGTACTGGTGGCTTCACCATTGGGGTATATAGAATAAACACTAAACACCATTTTGATTCATGTCCTCGATTCTGTTCGTCTTCTCGTACGTGGTTAGTTCTAAAAAAAGGAATTTTTTTTTTGTTGTTCGAACTTTTAAAGCATGGAGTTCATAGTGTAATCTTAAACTCTAGTTTAGTTTTGCTGCTTGGAAGTGTTGTTTTTTTGATAAACAAAATTTTTTATTATGTGCCGCTAGGGTTCTAGGGTTTAACCTCTATTCATTTTCTGGTAGTTTAATTGTTGAGGAATCTTCATCAAGATTCAATGGGAAAGCAATATGAAAAGAAGATCACTTGGACGATTAAGAATTTTTCCTCTTTGCAATCTGAGGAAATTAATTCTGATCATTTTGTTGTTGGTGGCTGCAAATGGTAAGAGCTTTTTTCTTTGTTTACAAATAATAAGAAAATTTGTTTTCTAATATTTACGTTATATTGTCCTTTGCTTTCTTTGGCTTTGTTTGTTTGCTTGCAGGCGTCTTCGGTTCTATCCGAAGGGAGACAGATATATTGACTATTTGTCTCTGTATCTTGACGTTGATGATTCCGAAACTTTGCCTTCTGGATGGAGAAGGCACACAAAATTTCGCCTAACTCTTGTAAATCAATTTCGGGAATACAGCTCCATAGTTCATGGTGATTATATCTGCCCTAGTTACTTTATGAAGGAAAAGTTCATGTTTTATGTTTTTACTTGTTATGGGACTTGTAGTCTTGTGTTGCTATGAGATTCTATTTATGTGTTTTGACTAGACTTCTATGTTTCTTGATTTTATAGAAGTACAAATGTGGTTTGATCATAAGACTCCAAACTCGGGCTCCAGAGAAATGATTCTACTCAGAGCCGTCCCTAGTATATAATAGGCTGCAAGCAGGAAAAAAAATTTGGGCCTATTTTAGTAAATAAAAATATTAAAAAAAACAAAAATTAAGAAAATGAAGGTAGATGGACTCGAACCATTGACGTTCTAATGCATCAAGGAAGCACATAACCAGCTTAGCTACTAAAATTTTCAGAAAAAAACGGCCGAAATTTTACTTATAGTAAATGAGGCCGCAAGCATGGGCTTGGCCCGCTTGTATTCAAGGCCGGCTCTGATTCTACTTACCAAACTTCTTAACAAAAATGGTGGGTTTCTTGTGAATGGAGATGTCAAGATTGTTGCCGAGGTTGATGTTCTTGAAGTTACTGGCAAATCAGATGTGTTAGAGGAAATTTCATTTGTTAGAGAAAGCACGGACGTCAATGGGTTACAAGTACTTCCTCCACAGCTGGTAAGATTAATATTTCTACTTCTAATTAAATACACAGAACCCAAACGAAAATACACAATTAGCTGCATTTGTTTTTTTATTTTTGTGGGTCTGTTTTCTGATACATTCATTTTCACTTCCAGGTAGAATCTGTGACTGTGAGCAGTTTATTTAAAGATTACCCAGACATTGAATCAAAATTCTGCCCCACGAACCCACATCTGAGAACATCATGTATGAATATCCTTGTAAGTCTGACTGATATTCTGTGCCAGTCCCCTGAGAAACTCTCCATTGGTGATCTGGCCGACGCATATTCTGCACTGCGGTATGTGACGAAAGCGGGGTTTAAGTTGAACTGGTTGGAGGAGAAACTCAAAGAGGCTGGTAAGCCGAGGCTGCAAGAAATTGAGGACGACTTGAAGGGTTTGAAACAGAAGTGTGCAGACATGGAAGCTCTGGTGGAGTTTTTACAATAATGTTGTTTGATGATTAGGCAGTTCATCAGAGTTTGGATCTGATCGGTATTTTTTGTCTGTTTTGTTTTTGCTTTTCTCATTAGTTTTGAAACAGAGTCCAAACTTGAGGAGATTAAGAGACCTGTTTTGTTGTTGAGGTTTTGCTTGTTACATTTATTGCTCTTTGTTTCGTGATGGAAAAGTTACATTAAAATGTCTCAGTGTCTTAAGTCTAAACTGTTGTAGTTAGTATGCAAAGACCGTAAAACAAACTTAAATTCATGCCCATGATTGATAAGAAGATAATTAGAGATAGTGATACAGAGAAATAGTCACATCTGACACCACTTGTTCTCGGAAATGAAGACAACAATGAATCGTTGTGTTTCATTATTAGGTCAAATAAACGGTGTTAATGACTGGGTAGGTCATTTTGTTTTTTTTTTGTGACGGTCACTGTTTTAAAAATAGTTTAGGGAAAATCAAATGTTCTTCCCTAAGCTATTTATTAGTTTAGACTTTAGACTTAACGTCAAATTTTATTAACCCTATGCGATATGAGGCACCGAAGCGTTTCGCATTCCTCTAGTCCAAACTTGGAAGCCTTTAAAGTTGTGGCTTCACTGGTTCAGTCCATCATTTCTGTCTCTTTCTTTCCACCTCACTCAGAAAGGTAAATACATATAAAATTATGAAGTATTTTAAACCGTTTTACTTTTTCATTTCCTTGAGTATGTTCATTTTCTCAAAAATGGTAACCTATAAATAAATATAAGCTGTTTAGAATGATGTTCCCTAGTGGAATATTAATCTCTTTTTTTCCTTTTTGTTTCTCGAGATTTTTTTCTTTGACTTTCGATTTACAAATATTGTGTGTAGATTGAGATCAATGGAGACAAAAGTTGATACGACGATTAGTTGGAAGATTAAAAATTTATCTTCTTTGCAATCAGAATCAATTTATTCTGATAAATTCGGTGTTGGTGGGTGCAAATGGTATAAAGATAAATTGTTTTCTAATGTTTTTCTTCCAATTTAGGATTAACTCTTAATCTATAAATAATGATTTTGTTTGTTTGGTTTTCGTTTGCAGGCATCTTCGGTTCTATCCCAAGGGATATAATAAGGCTAATTGTTTGTCTCTGTATCTACATGTTCCGGATATTGAATCTTTGCCTATTGGATGGAGAATACACGCTAAATATATATATGCTTTACTACTTTATGGTTTATGGTAGTTTTATGCTTCTGTGTTGAGTTATGGTTTATAATTTTTGCAGAGACTCAACACTGGTTTGATCAGAAGGCTCCTAACCGGGGGTATCAAGAAATGATTACCCTCACTGAACTTCATGCCAAAGCGGGATTGGTGGTGAATGGAGAACTCATAATTGTTGCCAAGATAGATGTTCTTGAAGTTGTAGGAATATTAGATGGATCAGAGGAATCTTCTTCACCAGTAGTTGTAACCATAGATGTCAATGGGTTTCAAGTTCTACCTTCTCAGGTAAAACAAAAAAGGAAAAATATAGCACCTTTTGTTGTTTTGTAGAAATTCCAACCACAAGATGGTATTCTGGTTTGAAACTAGAATATGAAAATACTTTTAAATACAGAGAACATGAAAAGAATTAAAGCTTAAGAGTTTCTCATTGTGTAGTTCATTTTCTTTATATATATACAAGCTTTAGATTTGCTGTGGTTTTACTTTATGTATCCTTTTGACTCGCAGGAAGAATCTGTGAAGTCTTTATTTGAAAGACATCTAGATATTGCATCAAAATTTCGTCCAAAGAATCCATACCTGAAGACTGCCTACATGAATGTTCTCCTGAGCTTAACCCAAACGATATGCCAATCTCCTCAAGAACTCTCCAATGATGACCTCTCTGATGCAGGCGCTGCACTAACATATTTGAGAGAAGCAGGGTTTGAGTTGGATTGGTTAGAGAAGAAACTTGGTGAAGTAAAGGAAAAGAAGAGGAAAGAGGCTTGTTTGACACGGATACAAGAAATGGACGAACAGCTTCAGCCATTTAAGAAGAAGTGTTTAGACCTTGAAGCCAAGATAGATAAGGAGAAGGCAGAGTTGTTAGCTGCAAGAGCTCCTAGCTCTCTCCTTGAACAATGACAATGTTGTCTAATGACTTTTGAGTTCTTGGGCACTTGAATTTCTATTTTGCTTGTATTTTATGATGTTTCTATGTACTTTTTCTTCTATAAAATTGTGTTTCCGACCTATTAGCACACATTCTTCTCCCTTAATAAATTGAGGATTAATTAAAAAACCACTTGTTATCGAGAATGAATATAGAAACGTTCTTATATAATGATTAGGGTCAGTTTGCTATTATTTGAAGGTCATTGTCTTAAAAATAATTTAGGGAAAGCCAAATGCTTTTCTTGCAAATTTTCTTTTAGACTTTAAGCCAAATCTTATTAACCCTAGACATGAGTCTTCTTAAAAGTTGTGGCTGCACTTTTGGTTTTGTTTCTTGAGATTGTTCTTTGACTTTTCGATTTACAAAAATTGTGTGTAGGAGTCATCATTGAGATCAATGGAGACAACAGTTGATACGACGATTACTTGGGTGATAAAAAACTTCTCTTCTTTGCAATCTGCACCAATTTATTCTGATATATTCGTTGTTAGTGGCTGCAAGTGGTAAGATGATAAATTGTTTTCTAATTCTTTTTGTCCAATTTAGGGTTTACATGATAATCTTATTTGATTGTTTTTCTATACTTTTTGCTTGCAGGCGTATTAAGGCCTTCCCCAAGAGATATTATAACAATGAATATATTTCTCTGTTTGTAGACGTTCCTCATAAAGAATCTTTACCTATTGGATGGAGAAGACACGCTAAACTTTCTCTAACTTTAATAAATCAATTTTCTGAAAATCTCTCTCAACTAAAAGGT